AACCCCCCCCCCCCCCCCCCCCTCGTTTAACTCGTTCCAATATCCGAAAGTTAATATTGTCGAAATATTTTTAAGAGATAAATTAAATCCTAATCTTAATTAAATATCTTAATTTTATTTCAAATAAGCAGGATCTTTATTAAGATTACACTATTAACTCTGAGTTTGGAACATACCAGAAAATGATACGCAAAATCGAGTTGTTCCAATAAGCAACTCTATAGCTAAACGTTGAATCTAAAATTTCGAAGATAGGATTTTCTTATTTAAACTAAATCTTTATTCTGTGAAATTTTAGTGAAATATTTATGTCGCAGAAAGAACGGCTGTGAAGAAGATTACAGAGCGAGTATATTTATTACTCGTTAATTACGCGCGTAAAATGATTAGCAAGTAACCTTTGGCGGAGAAGTTTTGCAGCCGGAAGTTGCTTGACAAACTAAACTTTTTGCACGGCCACGTCCGCTAGAAGTAAAACGTTTATTATAACGAAGAGTGGGCGTATCAATTATGGCCTTTGGCAGCTTGCAAAAATGAATAATTGAAAAAACCCGAGAGCATCAGTTGAGACTCGAATAACAGCTCTACAAAGATTAATTATTAAACAAAGTTTAAAGGTCGCAAAAAAAGAATGAAATCACTGTAACATCGATCTCGAGATAACAACTTTCTATTTGTGATAACATTACCATTTCCACATAACGTCAGACAGACAAGAGAAACTGAAAATTTAATATCGAATGGCCCCGAATTACCTCGAATGCAATCTAGTAAAGATTAAAGGAAAATTACCGCGCTCTTTTATGAAGTTTACTTAATAAATTACGCATGTAAATTGCTTGTCTATCGTCATCATACATGTCGGAAACCTGTACATTGATGTCGTCTCGATATAATATCGTACTAAGAATTCAAGTAACGTACGTACGCTCAATAATAATTTAATCTTCACATTCCAATGTTTAATTTCTAATGTTTAAGATAGAGTCAAATATTTAAGAAGAATTTAATATTAAACAAAGGAAAAATCTTACAACTATGTTCACAATTACACATTAGGCATCCTTATAAATTTCATAATACTTAGTATGTAGATTTGAGTCTAACATCTCAATTTCGATTCAAAAACTGATTTATAAGACTTTTAAAATGACCAATTTATTTGTATCGTTCACGTATCCACTTTTCATATTTTCCACTCACATTTCTATTTAAACAGAAAAATTGTATGCGAAAATTAATTTCTAAAAAAATGTATACTTTTTTATACGCGAGTACATAAAAATTTTAATTGTTATATTAATTCCGTTACGTCGATGTATATCCCGATGTTAAAACCCGTTTAATACGAAAAATATATTCAGCGATACTGTTGCGCATAAATAAAATACCGCGCGGACGAATGTCGGGATAATTGAAATTTATCTCTCGGCGAGCCAAGGTGCCACTAATTGAGCCAGGATTTAATTAGCCGCGTTCCAAGCGAGCAAGACTCATTCGCCGTTTTGTTTCGCAGGATACTTCCCGCTGCCGTCGGTTTATTGCCTCGCCTGGATTTGCCTCGACGTGCTATTCTGCACCGCCAGCATAATGCATTTGTGCACGATAAGCGTGGATCGCTATCTAAGCCTGCGCTACCCGATGAAATTTGGGCGCAACAAGACGAAGAAAAGAGTGACGCTGAAGATCACCTTCGTCTGGATCCTCAGCATCGCGATCAGTTTACCTCTGAGCTTGATGTACTCGAAGGTGAGCCGTCGCATTTTCCATTTCTTTTTTATGTGTCCGCGAGAATTATTTTATTAATCAAAGTCTTTTTTTAGTTATCTAGTTATTCTTTTTACTGCTCCTTCTTTTCTGCCTCATCTTTCTTTATCTTCTACTTTTCATTATGTTCTCGCGGATATTAGGTGAATAGATGAAGACAGTTATTGGTAAAACTTTACTACTCTAGTCCTCTTTCTCATCCTTATATTAATAATTCAGCCGTGTCTGAAAAAAGTGCCATTTTTTAAATTTTTTCAGAAGAAAAGAAGAACTTATTTTCATGAAAAAATTATCTTTAAAAATTCTACAAAAAATTACTGTAATAACTAAAGGTATGAGCAATTAATTTTTGCAAAAATATTTAATTAAGCAATTCTAAAAAGAATCGTGTTAAAATTGTTAAAATTGTTAAAATTTCAAAACGTTGTTAGTCCAAATAAAAATGCAAGTCAAAACGTTGTAAATCCAAATAAGAGTAACAGTTGCACAAATGGATTTACAACGTTTTAAATTGTACTAGTCATTTTTCCCCACTTCTAGCAGCACTTTTCACGCTAAATATTAGTGTGTGACAGAACACTTATATATACAATCTATTCATACAATAAAATGAATTTTAGCACTTACAACGTTTTGTTGTGACACGCCTCAATTAATTAAGTCCGTATTCACACTTTACTTTTATCGATAAATGTGCGCATTTATTTCTGAAATTCTATAGTATAAATATAAACTATATGCTATGCGCGCATCGATAAATGTATAAATACGGACTTTAATTTTTAATTTGTAATTATTAAATTAAAATATGTATCAATTTTTTTTTTCTTTTTTGAAAGTAAAATGTTCTGTATAAAGAAACCTTTCTTCGTTTGTTCTCACATATTAAACAAGTAGATGAAGACAATGATTAGTCAGACAAATTTTATTACTCTCGTTCTCTTTCTCATTCTTACTAATAATTAAAAATAAATTATATATGGACAAATTATCTTTCTCGTGAATAAAGTTTTGTGTAAAAATAATTTATTTTATCTACCTTTACAACAGAAATTACTAATATTTTTAATAGTACCGTCAGTTTAGAGATATTTTATTTTATTCTATCCCGTGCAAATTTTTTACTTGCTCCATATTCTAAAAAATTATATATTGAGAGAGAGAGAGAGAGAGAGAGAGAGATATGAATACACGAGCAGCTTACAACGGCTAGAATGTAACTGCGATAGTTTTTTGCTACACATACTTCTGTACGCGAACATCCTACTCAATTTTCCATAACGACTAAAAGATTGCGAGGTTTTGCCCGTAAAATCCCTCCCAGGTGGCAGACGCGAATCTCGATAGCCGAAAGTTTATCGCTGTTTGCGGGAAACGTCGCTCATCGATCATTCTCGATGCAGGATAGGAGCAGGATGGATTTATATAGGACTATACATCGCGTCGCCGTTTTTCATCGGCAACGTCCCCGTGTCCGGAAAGGAGGAGGACCGTCGCGCCGCGATATTCCATATTCTCTCGCTTGTGAGTGAAATTAACGGCATGAGATGAAGCGACGCTATATTATGAAACAGTTGTCCGCCGTTTTGGCATACGCGCTCCCTCGTAAATTCCCGACTAACCCTTCAACCGGCTGTCGTTTCAATGCGGCTTTATGCCACAACCGTCCCCGAAAATCGCGTTAAATGTCACAGTCCAAATACCGAGCCTTCATCATTGCTAAATAATACACGCAGCAAATGTGCAACGTACATTTTAAAAAATGACCTGTTATTTTTATAGTTTAATTTCAAGTAATTATTTTACAGCTCACAATATACATCAAAGGAGAACGTTAAAATGAGGCCAATTTCTGCCTAAAAGGGTGTAAGCAAAAGGAATAATGTTTTTGTATATTTTTACACCTTCTGGTTATGATAAAGTTATTAAAAAGTTTGCAGCGTTTAGGGAACACCTCAAAAATTAAGCAAGAATATAAAAATTTGGATAAATACAACGTGTTTGTGCTCAATTTTCAAATGTGTTCCCCAAATGTTACGAACTTTTTAATAATTTCATCGCATCCAACACTATTCCTTTTATTTATACCTTTTTAAGCAAAAGTAGATCCCATTTTACATCTTTTGTTTTATTTTTTATCTATTTTTAATCGCCATTACATATTCTTTTCGTTTTTACACATTTTCTATATTTACGTCAAGAGTGTTTAAGTAAAATAAAAAATAATATAGTACACACCGGGATGTGGGGAGGAGATCCAACTATCTGCGCGCGACAACAAAGTAATTATACATGTCGCCTTTAATTTCCGCGAATGAAAACATGACTGCAAATTCCGATGGAAAATGCCAACGTTATGGGTTTTCCGGGAATGGATGTAATGTGTACACGTCTAACAGGTTATTTTCTTAGCTCGAGCGTGTTCATCGTCGTAGAAGCTGCCTCGGCTTGCAAACTGCTCTTGCAAATGTGCAAACTACTTTCGTTTCATGACGCGAGAGAGACGAGACGAGACGAGACGAGACGAGACGAGACGAGACGAGACGAGACGAGTCGAGACGATAAGCACTGCCGCATCGACGAGTTTGTCGGACGAGTTTCAGCAACTTTACAACACCATTTACTAGCGCGTTTCATGCCTTACTTGGGTATTGATCCAAATTTTGCGGCCGCCATATACTCATTCAAAATTCCATCCAACACCCAGAGTGAAATTTGTGTCCAACGCCGTGAGGCGACAAAAATATCCCATCCAATTGTATACACGTGTATTCCTTTACGTTGTAAATTCATTTATTTTAAACACGTTAACCTAGATCCAAAGTAATCAATATCCAGATTAGAAAGATCGAATAGATAAAAAAAGTCTTCAGTGTACAAATTTTCATATTCTGAATACTTACCTTCATTTTTTCAATTTGGGCATTTCTATCAATATGAATTTCAGAATTTCCGTAAAATTGGACGTCAAAATTTCGAAGTTTGTGAAATTGATAGAACTTTTTTATTTTTGCTTTGATGTCACAAGTTTTTAAATCCACTGATTTTTTACACATCGTTTCCTTACATCAAATGTAACACAACTAAAAAATGTGATTTTCGAATTATTATCGTGAATGAGTTAAGTAAACATTACTCTATTAATCATTAAAAATGAACTAATTCATTTTCATTAAAAAGTTATTAAAATTGTCACAACTAAAAAAGGGTGATTTTATTTTAACTCTCCATCTGCAACCTGTTTTTTTTTACTGTTCTAAACTTTCAAAAATGTGGAAAAATTCAGCGGTTTTTCAACATCTCTATTACATTATGAAATGGTTTTTAACAAGATATTTTAGGGATTCTGCTCTCTTGTATATTTCGGAAAAATTTGAAAATAAAATTTCGCTTGTTTGGAGAAAGACTCAGATTGCAAGGAGAGTTAAGGGTTATAAAATAACAACGATCAAAATGTGATATTAAAAACACAAGAATACATTCTTTCTTTTAAGAACATATTTTTTTAGCCAATATTATTCAATGATTAGTCAATGATCTTTTGTCAAGTTGAAAAATAATAATTATTCCCCTTTTCTGAGAAACATAATTTTTTTCAATCATCAACTTTGAAGCAAATGATATTAACTCTCAAATGTTCCCACTTTTATAATTTAGAAATTTTCGTAAGATTTGTTTACTTCTCAAACCAGGATTTTCTCTAGAACGGTTTTCTCATCGATTTGTAACGCAAATAGGAAATTCTTGAGTTCTCGATTTCCCTCGCTTCCTTCTTATTTTGAAAAACCAACGTGGAAAATTAAAGGGCGTGACGACATCACTTCCAACGAGCCACTCTCAATTCTCACGAGACCTCACGTCGAGTGTTATCGACTGACGTCGAGCGGAATTCGCACCTTCCGGGAACACGTGTGGCGGATATACACGTGCGTGGGCTGCAATCCTGCAACCAGGGAATGTCCATCTCCTCATCTTCTTTCCTCCTCTTGCTTCCCCCCTTACAGTCACCGATGGACGTTATGACCCACGCTCGATCAAGGCGAATGCGACAGCCGGAGAAGCGGAACACGAGCTGACCATTATAGGCGACAGGGACTGAAAGCGGAAGCGTATTTCAAGGAAGATTCATGTCTATGGGGTGACCCGTAAGCTCCGCGTCAAATTTTAACGATGAGCACAATGAATTATGGAATGTATTGTCTCGCGGAAGCTCCGTGCTAACTTTCAAAATAATGTGCTCGAGCAGACGTATAAGGATAACTCGGCGATCGTCTCCGCAAATCTAAATTATTAATAAGTGATTTACAGGAAATAACGAAGAGTTGTCACAGAGGAGTGCTGACAATCCATTTATTTACTGGCACTACGCCCTGTAAAAGTGAAATTACAAAAACAGTAAAAGTGATATTATTAATAAAAATTGATTGTAATCTCTTCCTGCGAATAAAACAAATAAAATGCATATATTATTTCATTAATGTCTTATCCTTTTTGTAAAAATCTATAAATATAATAAAAATCGTAATTCATTAATATATTGTTGATTCTTTGCTTAAAGACTTAATTATGCATAGTGAATTATAAAACAATCCCTTTGATGTAATAATATTTTATTAAAATTTTGTTGATAGAAAAAAATTGGGACATATATAAAAATTAAACATTAATTATTAGTTCAATCGGAAATAGAAATGATTTACAATTAATTCATTCTCTACAAAAATGTAACTTATTAATACATAATGTATATGTATAAAATAACAAAACTCATAAGAAAAGGATTTATCAATTTATTTACAATCAATGTGCGGTAGTATATGAATTATTTTCGTCATATTCCTCCTCTCTTTATTTTTGCTAATAAAAATTAATTTCTAGAATTAAAAAAAATTAAATACGTTTTGCATCATTCTACAAATTTCTATTCATAGTTTCGTAAATAATTAAATAAACGAGCTGTTCATTAATCTTCTTAATTCTGCTTAGGAACCTAATTAAAGAGTTATAAGGTAGAAGACTAATAACATGAGATGCAACGGCTTTATTGCAGCTGGCAGAGTATTCCGCTAATTAAATAGACACACAAAAGGAAACCAAATATAAAAAAGAAACGCGAGAACATTAACAAAAAGTAACGACGAGCGTATTGCAATGCCATCGCGATGGCGAATAATGGATGACAGGACGACAGGCTGACGCATATTTCCGACGTTCAATCTTCAGTATACTCAAAGGGCTCGGGTGGTTCAGCTTCCTTCTCTTCCTCCGGCTTCGGTCCAAAGGCTGAAACAAACCGGAAGTGCTCAAGCACACACACCCTACAAGCACGTACTCGATACTTCAAAACATAAACGAAAATCCTGGCCCGTTCATGAGTATATAATTTTATTTGCGTAAATACAAATGTATAACTTTATTTGTGTAAAATTTATCTTTTCTATGAAAATCTGAACAATATAAAAAACATATTATAAATCATTGTTAATTTTTATAGACGTAAAATCTCTTAAATTAATCAAGAACATTTGAATAAAAGATAAATAAAGTTTAACAATTAAATCTTTCTTTAGCTTTGAAATTTTAATTAGGTAATTAATATATAAATATTTATATCAAGGGGCACTTCTCGCCCTAATAAAATAAACGGCAAGATTATTAACGAAACGTTGGCATTAGCAATGGATCACGACACGACGCAAACTCTTTGACATCTCTGAAGAAAATACCCGCAAAAGCCTCAAAAGTATTATCAAAAAATTAATAAATATCTCGAATATGCCTACTATAAAGTATTATTAAATAATTAACAATAACAATTTCAAAGACTCTCAATCTTTAATAATCATATGAATAGAATTATATAGTTGAAAAATTGTTGTTTCACTCTCTCGTGAAATTTTCGATTCAATTATTCTCATTGTACGTAAAATATAAATTAAAATGACTTTTTCTTTACAATCAATTTCTGAAAGAAAGTTTTGAGCAGAAAATAAAGGATCAATCACTCACCGGCGACGGGCTCGACGAGTTCCTCCTCGGTGTCCGTCTGCATGTGCTTAACCATGACAATGCCACCGATCTGAATATCCTTAACGGGAGTGTAATGGCTACCCTCGACCAGCTGAATGACCTTCAATTGCTGACGTAGAACTCGCGCAGGATTCTGGAGGACCTCGAAATTCGGCTCGGGCTCTTTCTTCTCCTTTTCATCACCGTCTTTCACCACCTTTTTCTCGGGCTTCTCCTTGGTTTCCTTAGCCTCTTTCTCATCCTTCTTCTTCTCATCCTTTTCTTTCGAAGACGATGCAGCTTCCTTTACCTCTTGAAGCTCCTTCGTCTCCGAAGGCGGATCCTGCAATTTTTATTTAGTTTGTTTTCTCTTATGTGGGCGAGTGCTGAAATTTATTAGCGTGCTCTTTTATTTGTCATAAATTTATAATATAAATCATCGCGTTACTAGAATCCTAAGACAAGAATCCTAAGAAAACTTTATAGATTATTAATATTTTTACCAATAATCTGATTCTTTGATAAAAGAGACGTATAAATCTTTGTTAAAAAAAAATTTTATTCTCGTTTACTGAAATTCGAACTTGAAACTCAAGAGATGAGACAAATGAAATTTAAATACGCAATGTATACTATACAACGTAAACAAATGCGCAAAACAAAACAAAATGCACAAAAACAAAAATATAGATAAAATTCGAATCAATTCGTTTATAAATCTTTAAACGAGAATTTAATAATAAAAAGATATATATGATGCATAAATTTGATGAGTTAAATATTCGAAAATTTAAAGAATTGAAAATATCAAAAATTTTGAAGTTTTTGCGTGCAAAAACTTCAAAACGCAAGAGTTTACATTCGAAAATTCAAGATATCGTTAAAATACATATAATAATTGACGCTTAAAAAACATATATCAGTCTCAATAATTATTCCCGCAATTTTTTTTCATTAATTTTGATTTAGACAAATAAATAAGAGAACATTCTTCCTGAAATTTCCAGACATTTCCTTTAATCACTTACCACTTCCATCTTCTCATGAGAATCTCTGGCTTTTCTTTCAGTCTCGCGTCTTCTGGCACGAGCCGCAATACTAAGCACAGCGGTGGTGACTTTCTCTCGTTCCTCTCTCTTTTTCTCTTCAAGAGGCGCAGGATAAGCATATATGCTTGGCCTAGCGTTTGATTTGATCTCCAATTTAGGCATCTTCAGCTGAGCGTTCAAGGCGATCAGACACGTGGGCGTGAAAGCCAGAGCCAAACAATGCGCAAGTGGAAACCAGTACCAATACTGAGTGAATACCAGGGCACCGACCACCGCCAACATGTTCGTGTGCCCCGTACGCGATTGTAGAGATACGGTTACATTACGACCACCTAAGAATAAGCGAAAGTCTTCTCGTAATATTTCACAATTGATCTTCTCATTGGCTTTATTTCTCGTTCTAAGATTCGCGAAATTTTTAGGGCTTTAAGAAATTTAGAATAACAAGACCTCGTCGTTAAAAATAGAAAATTAAATATTTCAAAATTAATAAGAATGTAAGTTTAATGACGGATAAAGTAATGAAAATTCTAAGTCCTAAAAATTAAAGAACTCAAAAGCACGTATTCTGTATTAGTACAAATTTCAAAATTTTAACGAAAAAAGTTCAAAAAATAAATTTCATACTGCCAAAATTTTGTTTTCCATGGATCAGAATCTATAATTCAACGATTCATTAAAGTCCATGAATAAAGCTGATCCCTGCGTTGCAATAATAAAATTAACAAAGTACAGGAAATCCAATGATTCGCAGTTTTTATGCTCAGGAAAGAAATAATTTCAAATTTGTTGGAATATCTATATAATTAAAATTGAAATCACAGATTCTGTGAGTGTCACATGCAAGAAACTCTAAAGAAAACTCACCGGCATCGATGATCCCTTGTGCCAAAATTGCTCCAAACTTAGCCATCACATCCTCGTGTTTGTCCACGACGACCTTAGCATATAATGCTCTAAAATCTTTAACGCGGGCACACGTGGATTCCGTCTGCTGGATCAGAATCATGGCGGAAGCGATCAATGCGCCTTGCCTGACGAAATTCACAGGATCATTAGTCATTGGGTCCAACAGAGCGATAGCTTCCTTCAAGCCGGTACCCGCGCAAGCAATACCCAAGGCCATCGCTGCGCCGTACCTCACATGAGGATTGTAGCTCTCCGCTAAGAGAGACACCACACTAGGACATTGCTCCGGAGTCCTGGAACACATGAAAAAAAGAACGCGATGCTAAGTTTTCCTTCAAACTTATTGACTTTTGTCAATAAATCACATTCAATATTACTAATCTCGTAATAACTCACTTTTTATATCTTTCATGTTTGTCACTGGTATATTATAATTTAAATTAATATTATATATAATATATTAATTAATTTCTTTTTCCAATTTTCTATTTTCCTTTCGCGTGATCTTATTTTTATATTTTTTTAAATTTAAGATAGTCAGTCAAAGCTTACATTTATTTTGTAAATACATGTATAACTGTAATTACAATTCTTTTTGATCAAACAAGTTTTGTACTTATCACTGATAATCACCCTATTTATTAATAATTTAAACTGTTAAATAAATTACAATAAAAAGTTCATCATCTTTCACTGAGAGAACTTTGTAATATTAAATTTAATAAACCATTAATTCTTTTATATATTTTATCAATAAAATAATGTGTTACAGCACGGTATTTAGAAGGTTATGGTATTTAAATGAATGTAGGTTCATAAATTTTAATTACGTGATTGATAATTATGTGAATTGATAATAATTGGTAATTAATTTAATAGCATCGCCACGCGTCTGGCACACTTGAATATTCGCACGAGTTAATATCAAACAATAATTAACAGATCCCCATTTTCTCATTTTGTTTCAGGAAGATGATTCGGTATTGGTGGACGGAGCCTGCCAGATTCCCGATCCCCTCTATAAATTAATTGGCAGTATAATCTGCTTCTATATCCCGCTAGGAGTAATGTTGTTAACGTATGCGTTGACAGTAAGATTATTGGCGGAACAACAACAAAATATCGGAGGGACTGGAGCAGGTTGGTCATCGGGGTGGTTGGGAGCCCCTCAAGGTGCCTCTCAAGGTTCATCCATGACAGGTTAGTATACTGTGCACTATAAGCTTGTTCTCACATTAATTTCCGGAATCTTAATATCGATTATCTCTCAAGGAATCAAAATAATCGAATATATCTTATTGTTAGTATAAGTTACTTTCTCTCTCTATATTTGAGTCCATTTCACTATAATATTATTGTAAAAATATAAACTAAATTTAAACTAAACTTTAAAATTTATTTTTAAATGTATATTTAAAATACAACAGAACATTTAAGAATAAATATTCAATTTAATTTAATTTTTCTAATTAATATAAAAAAATAATTTATTTAAATAAAGATTCATAGAATAAAAATTCTTCAAGTGTCTTCCAATTCGAATTTTTTAAATTAAAAAATACGATCAAGCTTGCCTAAACAAATTTCTACAATAGAAACGCTTTTAGAATCGTTATTAAATTTAACAAGTGGTTAAAAAGTATTTTTCTTTCTTCTACACTTTTATTATTTCATGGACCACTCTTGCAACTTCATGCTTTCTTCCCATCAACTTGACAACGAAGAAAATAAAACAATTATTATTTCAAATGTTACCTTATTCTTATCAATTTTCTATTTTTAGCAAAAAAATTTGATCTTAAAAAAATCATAAAAATAAATAAAGCAATATAAATTATTAAAAAATAAATTAAAATAATAAAAAATACAGAATACGATACGGCAATATATCCTTTTCACCAATTTTCTCTTCTGCATGACAATACTTGCCGTTTTTTTCCCCGAGGATACATTTTATTCGGAAACGAACGAGGCCGTCGGGCGAAGGAAACTAAGACTTAGTTTTCCTACCTGATAAAAATTATTTATTCCGATTTATCGGTCGGCTTCCGAGGACTACAAAGGATATCGCGTCTGCAGGCGTCTCATAAACGTTTTTCGAAACCGCTGGCGTGAATTTATTCCCCTCAGACAAAGCGTTCCCGAGGGAGATAACCTTCTACATCCCTCTTTCTCTTCCGCGACGGAAAGTTTCGCTGGAAGCCACATCGTCTATTGTCGCTTTGATTTTACCTGGACAACCCTCCGATTACTGCCTCAAATGGAATTTGCATACCAACTTCATGCCGGAATTCATCACACTATTTTACACGCCGCGTTGCACAATTATTGCATTTTAAAATGCATTCTTGATGAAGTTTTTGACCAACTTTGAGGGAAATAAGAGTCACCTTCGAACACCTCATACATATCGTAGAATTAAAACATGTAAACGAAATAAATAAGTAGATTATGAGAAATTTTATTTCTTAAACTTTTACATGTTTTCCAGATAATAATTATCTGTAACTTTTTTTTTAGATAAAACAAAGCATTTGCACTTCCTTAATTGTTCACGGATTAACCAATTAGAATTTGTTATCCAGTCGCGGATCTCTAGCGTGTGCAATTCGCCATTACTGTATAAATAATTCGTCACGCAACATGAAGGATGCCTAGTGGGCGACGGTCGTATGATTAATGATGTCAACGCGGTTCGTTTTTTCGCATAGAATCGATCCCGGGGAATCGATGGAACGGGGGACTAGGCCAGGCTTCTGTCTAGAAGCACTCTACGACAAGAAATTTCGCCGGCACGTCAAGCACGGAAGCATGTCGACGTCCACGACGAAGATATGCAAATGCCGGCCATTATGCAAAGATCTCGGATGCGGCACAGTATGCTAAGAAGGCCCCCGTCCGGTTGCTCGGCGATATGAAAATTAATCGATACCCCGTTACGCGCGAGCCCCATTCGCGGGCACTTAATATTCCGCAGGATTGAAAGATTGCAGGAGATGACACAGAAATCTTTTGAGTACCTCATTACAAACACAGTTCTTGTCGGTAGACTGTAAATATTCCGTTAATTTAAAAGAAGAGATAAGAGAAACAACAAAAATATTGTTAAAATGTCACAATTCTCATCAATAGATTGAAAATATTCTGTTAATTAAAAAAAAGAGATAAATTAGAGAGAGAAAAAATTCAAAAAAAAATTAAACTCATTTAAATTATATTATTTTTTTTTACTAAAAAATAATTAATAAAATTAATTGTTTAAAGAGCAATTTTTATTTGTAAAATTCCTACTTTCAATCAATCAATACCTATTCATTTTTAATGTTGCCTATGATTCAAAGACTTCAAAGTACAATGCAAAGTATCTTTACTTTAGGAGTGGTTGTGTATCTCCTTGTAAAAAGAGCTCTGGCATTAATTCATTTTAAAAAGCATCAAATCAGTGAAGAAAAAGACAAATTCAATCTTCAATCTTCAATCGTTAAATTGACTGAAATCTCTCGTTTTTCAACAAAAGAGCGTCTCCCTTCCTGAACGAAGAGTAAATCCTGCATTTTCCGATGCTCTCCAATCGTCAGTCGCTAAAAAATCTCAATATAAAAAAAAAACAAATCCCCTTCATTCACGGATAAAATAGAAGATCACCGGAATCATCCTTCCTTTTCCAATCGAAAGAAAACTCTGATTAATCGCTAAAATCTCCGGTTCTCCAATAATTCGCGCAGGGCTCGAGCGACGGGGCACCTGGAAGAGATACCTCTTGAACAAGGGTTCGGGCGGTAGCGGCGGCACGCCGCAACACACCTCCGGCACGTCGACCGACACCGAGCTGACCACCCTCGACACCCACGAGCTCTGGCTGCAGGAGAGCGAGCCACCACCCTCGGCCATGTCCGCCCTTCATGCCTTCGGCGCGGAGATGCTCAAGTTGTCGAGGGGTCTCGAGGGGATGGCCGGCAGCTCCGGCAATCAAACCCCATCAAAATTGACAGCTAGCCCAACACCACCAGCATCATCAGCAGCAGCAGCAGCAGCAGCAGCAGCAGCAGCAGCAACTGCTGCAACTGCAGCAACACGGTCCCTCACTACGCAGATGCAGCTTCCGCAACGGGTATGGAGATTGCAAGTCAATTATGTGTTTGCGAATCATAAATCTTTCTGTAAGCTTACTTTATGATTGCGACATGATAAATTTCACGACTCGAATACAATAAAAATATAACCTAGATGTGGAACAATGAGAAGAATATAAATTATAAAAATTAACAACACAAACAAACAAATCGTATGCGATATATTGCTTCTTTACTTCAGAAATTACACAACTCAAAAAATGTAATTATCAAATTTTTACCATGAATGAATAACGTAAACATCTCTATCAATCTTACCAAGAATGAATTAACTTTCTTTCATAAAAAATATTCGAAACATTGCAACTCAAAGAGTAATTTTTAAAAAAGAATCATCAAAATCGTCGTAATTCAGAGTGGTTGTAAAATAAAAATAACAAAAATTATATTGATTATGTTAGAAATATATCTTTGCCGCACGAAATGTTTGATTAGAAAATAATTTTTTAATCATTTTTTTCTTTATCTGAAAGATTAATTTTTCGAATTGTGTCACTTTTAAAGTAAAAGAGCAATCTATAAGTAGAAATAAGTGAAATTTTAATTCATCTTATTTCTGTTTTAACGTAAAATCCTTCGAGAAAGCTTTCTTTTTCTTAACTTTTTAGACAATTCTATATAATTTTCAATAAAGTTTTTTTCCGTTTTATTTTGTTCTAGCTTTTTTCTGTCTCTTTCCCGTTTCTTTCTGTGATATGATCAAACGTGTATCGTTTTATGCAAACTGCTTAAAACACGACGATGTATCCCAGGCACAATTTTGTGAGAAAGGAATTTCCGTGCTTGTCTGAGTTTTCGCGGAAGATGCTTTTGCAATTATTAACGACATATCCATCGCATCGTAACCTGCGGGCTCTCAAAACACGCCATTGTGCTTGACGGCGGCACGTTTCCGTGGCAATACGACAGCACGAATTTGCGTCACTTTGTCACTCCGGCTCGCACAACGCCGTGACTACCACGAGATGCGGTTAGCGTTGCGTCAAATCAACTTACGACGGCAGCCGGGAGAGTTTCCGGTGAATTTGTGTCATCCAATGTACCAAGAACCTACGCATGCAACTATCGTCGAAGGGCTTAAGTGAAGAATGTCTTACTATATTCCATACTCGTATCTACAATCTAAATTTATGATACTCGACTTTCATCTCTCAACATTCTTTAGTTTAAGTCTCATGTTGCTGAAAGATATAGTTTCTGAAAACGTAGCATTGCCCTCAAGATATTTTTGGGGAAATTTATTCTTTAAAATATTTTCGCTTCTCTATATACACTCCAGGCTAAAAATTTGAAAACACTCTTTAAAAATTGAGAGACATCAACAATTATTCCTTTTATATATTTAAGAATTTTTAAAGGTCTCAATTTTAGAAGTAAATGTCAGTTGAGAAAAATCAACTTTAAATTCATCCGGGACTCTAAGATATATTTCTTGGGATGTCCTTACATACAGGATCATTACTTACTTCCTCACGGAATCGAATGAGAGAGAGAGAGAGAGAGAGAGGTTGCGGGAGAGGGGAATTATATTTGACGTCGTTTAGAGCTTCCAGCGTCGATCCACGGGAATACGCAAACTAAAAGTGGAACGAGAACGTAGGAGTGCGGCCAGAATATTAAAAGCTAGACTCCCCCGTATCGCTGTAAAATATGTTTCAATCATAATCCACCGATCTTTCTGCTGTCTTGTGTTTTTCCCCATTTCCTATGTCTTCTTTGCGAGTTTGAAAGGTATTTACATATGTTTAAAAATTCAAACGTTCCTTTCAAAAAATCAGGTTAATCAGACAGAGACCTCGCGACAATAAAATACAAGAATTTAATAACCGCAGAACAGAATTAAAATTCATTAGAGGATGAAATCAAGAAGGATGAGAGAAGAATGGAAAAAAAGATTTTCTAGAAGGATCTTAAAATTTTTAGAAAGTAGCAGAACGCGAGAATTTGAAAGGAATGCGATTCTGCCAGGCGGCAGAAATCTGAAAAACGGAAAATCTACGATTAGAGACACGCGAGATTTTCAAGACGCGGTCGAAAAGATCTTGCGAGAGGCGGAAGAGCGGAATCGTATCGGATGCAACTGAAAGGCGAAAATTTTTCAAAGTAAATTGGTGCAATCATTAGATCGCAACATTTCAAATTGCACAGCTTCCATTTCCAGCGTCCTTCTTTACTTTTGCACCTCTTAATGGACATATTAGTAACGAAATCCCAGAGAAAGTCCCTTCTGGCTTTAATGATATATTTAGAGTTCTTTCCAAAGGTACATCCGTCATAAAAATTTAAACAAATCCTAAATCGTGCAAAATTACCGGAATCCTTTTAGAAAGCTGAAAAATTTAATTCTACGTCAAAGCAAATAATAATACTGAGGAAAAAAGTTACTTGACTAAATTAGTTTAGTTCATGATTTTCTACAATTTTATCATATATTTTACGAAGCGACGAAATACGTTACTTTTAAGCAGATAAAAGTCGCACGTGTGGTTACACAGCTTCCGCAATTTTTCAAATTTTGCATGTTCTCGCGACGATCGAATTTCCCGAAAGTCTCCTCGAATTCTCGCGGGACTCGCATGAAAATGCGAAAGCAGACGCGCCAGAAAGGTCACCGCGCGACGACGAGAAAACCCATTTATACACGGCAGCCTCAAAGTGGATTGCACTTAGCTGCTGGCATTCAAAGTGCAAAACGGACCAACCTCCGTACAGGAACGAAAAGGGTGAGCAAAGGGGATGATGGGGGAGAGAGGTCGCAGATGGTGAGTTTCGCTCGTTCGCTCGTGGTCGCGTACTTAAGTAAACTGCTCTTGCCCCGCGTAAACCTCTAATAAAGGAATGCACTTAGGATCGTGCCTCTGAACGCATCAAACGAAGATTACCTCTCTATTACTCGCAGAGGACTTTGCCTTTTACAGAATCGAGTTGCTTTCTGTCGATCTCGTGAATTAAATAACCGCCGAGTATTCAAAGATCTCTCCCTCAGGATGTTTTCCCTCTTCAATTGTTATATTATAAATTGAATTGTATTAAATTTAATAATAGAGTATCAATTTATACTCTATAAAATAGAATCAGAGGATGTACAATGTATAGAATGCAGTCGAAATAAATCACGAAATAGTGATTTGTCATAAAAAATAAATATAAAATCTTTTTTATAGAGAAGATTTTCTTTTAAGAAAATTGAAAAATGGTGTAACGACACATTTACGATATATTTCTCAAGTTATTTAAATTCAAAGCCAAATTTTATAAAACAGTATAATAACGGTAAAATAATAAAATATATCAAGATTGATTTGTTACATATCTTTCTCTTACTAAAATGGCGTTTTTATTTAAAAATTTAAATTTCTCTCTCTCTCTCTCTCTCTCTCTCTCTCTATAAAATTTTTGTTGAATTTAATTTTTGAAAAATAAATAAAAAATTCGAAATCAACACAAAGAATATACATTTTAATTTAAATTATGTATGACAAATTAACATAAACTTTAATGGAAATATAAATAAAACTTTATATATATAATAGCAATTTCTTAATAATCCAATATTTAAACATAACAGCAGGAAGAAACCAAATTATATTCCCTGTTTAAAATGCATTTTCCAAGATGCGTCTGTTTCTTCTTCAACCAGACCACCTTCCCCATCCTATCCTTTCTCGACCCCTCAAGTGTTTATCTCGACCAATATTTTTCTCAATTTGCCGTCAAGACCGCGGCCGTAATCCACTCCAACGACAATCGGGTCGTTTCTCTTCCTTCTGGAAGCACCCTCAATTATTCTCCGAAAACCCTGCCAACGCATTTCCAAAGCATTGATAAAATTGTCACTCTTCAGCAACAATAACGGTTCGATAACATTGTGGAAAATCAGAGGGCGTAGAAGAGCTATTTTTATTTCAATTTTAAAGAACGATTGTCGAATTCTGTCTGTTCTGGAAATCATCGAACTCATCATCGAAATTTTTCTCAAATTTTCTTAAAAAATTTTCTAAAATTTTGTGTAATTTTTTTCATCTGTAATTAATCATTAGTCTATTATTATTTGTTTTTTTTTTCTTTCAAATCATTACCTTAATTTCTTCCTTAAAATCTGAATTTTCTCTCTTCACCTTATTATTAATTATATATATAATCCTTTTTTTCCAAAATTCAGATTGCCGTCTCATTAATCTCCTCTGATTTCGTTATTACCTGAACATATGTTTTTAAATCTCTTCCGAGATTTCACCTTATCGTTTTGAAATCTACCCGCAATCGTCGGCAAATAAAGTATCGGTAGCAAAAGAGTTACCGATATTTATTTGAATAACCCACGTAAAATGGGTGATCGATAACGGACTGATAACGATCGAGGATGGAAACGCGTGTATTCCACGGCCGTCAGAAGTTCTCGGTACGGATGCATATCTCGCGTGTCTCTAATTTGCAAGGACGGAAGCAATTTTTTCCCCTCGCGCGCAAGCTCATCCAATCTCGCGATCAATTACCGCGCCACGCTGCAAAATCGGATGCAATCGCATTTTTTTCTTTTTCCTTTTTCTTCTTTTTCGCCGTTTTTCCTCTTCAACTGCATGCGGCCGACCGATTCCGCGTATCAAATGATAAAGGGACTCGCGTTCGTATCGAAACAATAGATATGGTGCACATTTCGTGACGGCGATATTTGTAGATTCCCTTTGAAGCTGGATTCGTGACAAAAATATCCAAATATTTTCTCCCTTCGGTAGACTTTAAAACGACAATCTCGCGTGAAACAATAAGAGGATTATCCTACGCCGAGTGATAAAGGAATCGGCGAATCAATCTTTCGTTCGCATAGTTTTGGTTCACGGCATATAGGAGGATTATTTTTTACTCGATTGCGATTGATAAGAAAAGCTTTTGTCATGCGTTAAAACTTTTCAGATATTCCCTTTTTCTCTTCGGTTTGATTTATAACGGCGAGAGAGATTATTGAGCGTGATAAAATAACAGGATTCGAGCATTAATCCTTCAATAAAACGTTCATACCTTTTTATCGCAGTGAGGATTATTTTGAAATCGATTACAATTGATAATAAAAGTCTTGTCGCGCGTAAAGTCCTCCAAAAATTTCTCTCTTCAATTTGTCAATTTTGTGGTAAATAACAGAAAGTTTATTAAACGTGAGATAAAAACAGACTGCAAATATATTAATACGCCCTATTACAAACATTTCATTTAATTAACTTAATTTTCAAAATTCCAGATTCGTCAAAGAATTTCTACACTGAAAAAAGTTTACTAAATTTTCATATATATTTGTTTAAATAATACTAACGAAACTTACAGTAAATAAATATTTACTTAATAAAAAATAATAATAATTAAAATTAATAGTTTTTGTATCAGACATACAAATAGATATATGTTTGCATTCAGCTAGTAGTATTCAAACAAATTCATTAAAATTTAGTAACCTTTTGTTAGTGTAACTGTGACAAGGCATATTTTTCATGCACATAATACATGCATTCAAACTGGCTGACTATTTATAAACAACTCATAATTGAATCTTTCTAATTATTCTGTAATCCATAACTGTCATTATATTCACTTATAATTTCTTGCTATTACAGGTGAAAATTAGAGCGAGAATAAGTCAAATAAGAAAAGGAATCCTATTTTTGGTCTAATCAGATTTTGATGCTTCATAATTTGTTAATTTGCAAATTTACGTATGAATTAATAATATTAAACACCAAGACTTGAACCAAAAATAGGATTTTTCCTCTTATCTAGTTATTTCGTTTCTTATTTGATTCAAAAAAAGCTTTTGCTATTTGTTATTTTTATACGTAAAGTTTTAAATTTAAATTAATTATTAACAAAGTTATTATATATAAGATGGAGACCATAATATCATCTTCTCCTTTATTAATAGCTCAATTTTTATTTCTTTTTAGAAGTGCAGAGAGCACGGAGAGTAGCATGTCCTGCTCGAGAACGAGCATATCGACGGAAGAATTCGCGAGTCCTTGGAAGCATCGGAGACGAGCGTCGACCTACAACGAAGCGCATTTGGAGAGGTCGATGCAGATTCTGGGTTCGCCCAAAACTCCTAGAAAAAGGTCTTTTAGCTTTCACGAGCAGTCGTCCTGTCGCAAAGGCGAGGACGATTCGATGCGCAAGAAGTTTCACGATAAAGCACCGGAAGGACCAATAACGTTACCGCCACCCTGCACGTGTCCCTATTTCGGGGAATCTTCGAAGAAACCGCCACCGTCAGGCGAGATCGTCATCGTTTCCAGCGACACTATGAAGCCTATTAGTAACAAACACCTGGAAACAAATATTCCTATATTCCTTTCGAGTGATACCACGAAAACCATTGGCAACAAGGGTCCGGAAATGGGCTTATTGGGTAGACACAACAGCGCTAGATCTACGGAGGATGCTAAAGGTTACGAGCAGCTGACCCCCGCGAATTCCGTGGTCACGTGGCGAAGTGGAAGGCGAGGTTCCAGCCTGAGTACGTGATGATAAGAGTGCTGATGACGTAAACAACAATTTCGATTAGTTCTTCGATAATTGCCTGCGGGAAATTCCCCTGGCTATCGCGTGCCACTAACGTTCCGCTAAAAATTGTAGAAGCAAAAAGAAGGAGAGAGAGAGAGAGAGAGAGAGGATGAGCAAGTTCGTGAAAGCGGTTAGATCGAGTCTCGAAGAGGGGAGGGTGAAACGGGGTTACCCGATTCCCCCCGCGTTGCTCGCTTCGATCACTCTTTTTTTTTTTACAACCCGAGAAAAATGGAGAGATTCGTTCAAGAAGAACGTGATTCATGGTCACGAAAAGCTCCCGATCATTGCCTTTCCAGGATCGCGCAGGATTTTCGCACGACTGATTTTGGAAGATTCAAGACTGTAAAAATTGACGTATTCGCGAATCTTACAGATTTTGACAGAAATTAAAAAATATTTTTGCTATTTCACATCTTAATGTTAATTAAATTTTTTATTTTTCATATCTTAAAAGAATAAAATTCTTAGATTATTTGTTTTATCTAATTAACGAATTTAAAAAATTTGATAAATGTGTTCCTAAAAATTTTTAACGGAGATTAAAAAGTATTTCTCCTAAAATTATTAAATTATTAAATTATTAAATTTGTTAGTTTTCGTATTGCGTGTTGAAAGAGTAAAATTCTTAGATTATTTGTTTATCAGGATTAAAAAAACAAATTTTAAATTATTTAATATAAAAAAATTTGCACATTGTCACAGAAAGTGCTTTTTATCTAAAACTAAATAAAAATTTTTATATATACGCAGATGCTAGAATTAAACTCTAATTCTCAAATGTCCATTACCTAACGTTTAAATCTCGCAAGTTTTCGCACGTTTGAAAATATTTCTTCTCGCGCGCGGCATGTCGATTCGAAAACTTTCAGCATTTAGAATCTCCAACTTTGCCAAGATTTCCGGAACGATTTCGAATTTGCAGGAATGGCGGCAATCCTTTTACCCGCAATCTCATCCATTTTCGTGAATCGAATCTTTCAAATCCTTTGCAGGCAGCACCAGGACTCTGCTGTCCGCTAGTACGAGAGCAACGCCGTTGCGACGCGCGGCGACGATGCGAGCGCACAACGGAGCGATGGGCACAGCAAATACGACCTTGAACCAGAGCAATCCGTCGTCGCCGAACCTGTTCAGGTACTCGGGTGGTCAGGTGCGCAGCCATCACTCGCGCAACAGCAGCGTGATCTCGCGCAACAGTTCCCGCCACGGTAGGATCATCCGGCTGGAGCAGAAGGCGACCAAGGTCCTCGGCGTGGTGTTTTTCACGTTCGTGATCCTGTGGGCACCGTTCTTCGTGCTGAACCTAGTACCGGCCATATGTCCCGACTGCGAGCGCCGTATCGACCGCAAGATTTTCGACCTGGTCACCTGGCTCGGCTATGCCAGCTCCATGGTCAATCCGATCTTCTATACCATCTTCAACAAGGTCTTCCGCCAGGCGTTCAAGAAGGTGCTGCTCTGCAGGTATCGGAATCAAGAGTGGCGACCGCCCAGGTAGGCTCTGGGCCCCGGGAGACCGGGGATCGCCATCAGCAGGGTGTAAACGATGGGAATGGAAGACCGATGCGCGAATCGATATCGATGAGAACGGTGAAAGTCAGAGAGACATTCCGAGCAAAACTCATCAAATGGTGCTATTCTACTCGCGCGATTCGCTTGTTTCGAGGAACGTAACGACGGCCTGAGTAGCTCGTGTTCTTAGTACGTATGTGCGTGTGTATGGATAACATTGCCGATTGTTGACGGACAAAATTTTAAGTCCTCTATCAAATCTTCCTATTAGCGACTCCTGTTAACGTTTCGTATCCAAGAATTATTTTGACACACAAACGAAAAATATTTTTTTAAATCTTCCTATAAATACATACAGCTTCTACATACATGTACCAACACTTCATATCAATTACATATCAATATACGATAATATGTAACATATAATGATGCCTATTTTAATAATTTTATATTTAAAAGTAATTATCTCCTAAAAAATATTTTATTATGACAAAATTCAGATCCTTTGCTAGGATTATTTTTTACAACTCAAATAATCACGAATTATTTTATCTCTAATTTGGATTTATTTTTGGTTTTATACTAATTTTCATTTTAACCACTTTCCAATGTAATACTGAACTTATTTTCCGTGTTCGACTTCTGGCCTAACAAAATTTATGTTTGATGCTTGAATTCTTTCAAGTAATTTTCTTTATGAATACCTGTACTATTTCTCGAACGTTTTTTGCGTGTGTTTAGACTGTTTAGAGCAAACTTTTCGATAGTTTGATCGCGCGAGGACTCGAAACGCGAGTGAACAATTTGACTAGTGGTCTAATAAGGAAACTATAACATAGTAGCTATTTCCAAACACGCTTCCTGTAACCGCAGAATCACCCGATAAACTACCACCGACTAATTAAATTCGCAATTGAATCTCCCTAATTAAATTCCGCACGGAGTAACGAGAAATTTGTAAATAAAAACGGAACGACGTGCGTTTAATTATAATTACTATTAACAGCATAGAACGTGTAAATGTGTGTGTATGAGTGTGTATGTGTGCGCGCGCGCGCCCATGTATAACTGTAAAAAAACTTGGTAGTATGTAAGATGTTATTAATGAAAAAGGTGCTCATAAGAAAAGTGTGTCAAAAGTCATCGAAGAACGAAGAAAAAATCCGAGTCCAATCGGAGAAATGAAACCGATAGAGACTCATTAATACCGTTATAGTATTGTCGATGTATACGAAAGAGAAGAATGTCACTAAAGAAGATCCTTTCGTTGTTTCTGGCATGTAAATCGCCGCGCAATAATTAAAGAGACACGACAAGCTTCTTCTTATTATCCCCAATTAATTTTCAGAATGCATCAGTGCCTGCTTACCGTGACATCTCTTTTTTTTAATAAGGATTCTTAAGAGATCCCGTCAACTTAAAATTCCAGACTATTCCCTGAAATACAATCCTAGATGCAATTTCATTATGATCATTGTATCGCAGCTCGAGACAATTGGATTAAACGTATAAATAAGTACTCGCGGTTTTTTTCGATCGAAAATAAACATATGTACATATATCTATTAATATAAGAAAAAAAACGGTAGAAACATTTTAATCAAATTATCTGCCTTTCGAATCTATCACTTTTTGTCATCTTTTAGATAGCATATGCTGCGGTGAAAGAATATTTTGCAGCGCGATTTATCGTTCACATCGAAATGGCTATTTTTTAATTTTTTTTAAACCAATCTTGGCGCGTTATTTCCGAAACAATATTGTCTCCATAAATCTCGCAAATTATTCTGTCTGCTTCAGTTTTATGGCGATGAAATATATAGTAAAGCATGCAATGGCGAATATAAGTACCTTTTCAACGTTCAATTTCAATTAAACTGGAAATGTACTCAATTGTCTAACTGTAAACTATTACATAACTTTTAAAATGTAGGTTGGTCAACCTTCCTAATAGAAAAATAATTGGGCACGGAAATTTAAATGCATGATTGTTAGCTTATTACCTAAAGTTAACCGCGCGGGAACTTATTTATACATCTATATATAATAATAGATCTCAAATGCATCGCGTAGCAACACAATTGCCAGCCTTGTCACGGAATTGTACCATGATTCTGCAATCACCGAGTCTGAATTTGATTATACAATATATGTATATATTGTATAATTGCAAATACATATATATATACATATAACTGCAGATTCTACACGCAATTGTATCGTAAGTTCGTAACTACAGATTCCGGATACAGTAAGAACAGCTTTGCAATTAATCGTACGACGACAGTGCAAATCCCCAGACGCGTTTACGAGAGATTGCAAAAGGACAGACCCGACAGACAGTGAGAGAGAAAGAGAAAAGGAACGAGAGAACGAGCTGTCGTTTATAAAAATGAAGACACGATCGTCGAATTTGCGCAAGCGTGACACGGCTTCGCCGTTGTATCGAGCCGGTGGTTGGAGTACCAGCGAGTACAGATGGATGATGGAAACACACACGGCGACAACAAGCCCCCCAGCGAATCCCCTCATCATCGGACTCCTCTATCGGGCCGCCCAATCAGAAAATCAATTGTAGGTCGCCGCCGCATTAATCGTACGATCGACCGTTCACCGTCGTCATACTAATTATTTAGTTTTCCATCGTTGTTCGCGGCTTGTCCCGATGTCGACCTCGCGAAAACCATTTAAACATGCGCAACGAGACGGCTACATTTTACCGTCGATTATTCCTGAAGAAGAATCAATCGATAGCCGATATAATGCCTTACAATTTTCACGCTCGATTACATCAAATTGATAATATTATCCAATAAGTCTCACAAGTTTTTCATATTAAGAAATCTTTCGCGTATGTGGCTAACATCCTTGGATCTTCAAATTTTTTTCCTTTATTTTTTCTATTTCAAATTACATTGGTTCATAATTTTTGAATTCATAGTGCAAGAAAAGAGAACAACTTTTGTTGACATATTTTGGGGCACTGATAATTTGAAACTGCCGTCAGAAAAATTCCATGAGGTCGAATTTTTTAAATATAGCATTTCTTTTTAAGTGATTTGAATACGACAAGTAATGAGTAAGACGAATATTCCGTCAGGATTTGATGATAATTGACAAACGTTATCAAGAGTATAGGATGAAAACATGCTAAGCCAACTACTTCTGAACTCTAATACGTGAAACTATTTCAAAGACATATAAAAAACAAAAATTAAATGCTCAACACTTCGGACTTGTTTTATAATTTCAATAAAACTTCACTATACAGTCCCTAGCAACATTATTATGACTACTGTTGAATTGTACGATATTTTTATAAGTTGGCAAATTTTTATAAAAAGTGGTCGAAAGATTTGTATTTCATGTGGCAATACTGTTTTCTAAATTACTGTGCATGCAACTCTAACATAGATCGCCATTTTGACATGTGTCAACTGTTTAACCACGCCAAAGTTACATCTCGAACGACGAAGTTATAATCTCTATTTAGAATACTTTGTCTCGTGACGTAAATTGTTAATATTAATAAAATATAACGGTAAGTTAAATAATAACTTATGTTTAACTTATTTATTTATGCTTTATTAACATATCTAACAACAATTTATATTTATTTTGCATTGTTTTTTAATGTTTTGTATCTGCTTTGGGCATGCATGTTTGATTTGTTTTATTTTTAAAGAATGGGTAAGAAAAGCGATATTTTTCTATAAAAATAGGTTATGATGAAGGGATTAGATGCTAGTGATTTCTCAGCGGGAAATAGCTAAAAGAGTGAAGGTTTCTAAGACAACAAATTTAACCAGATAGAAAAGAGTGCAAAAAGATAAGGTGGTCATAATAACGTGCCCAGAGACTGTATAATTGGAAAAAATATCTTTGCTTATATTTGAAAAATCAAACTTGATGAAAATATTTCAGTGGCAGATTCGAGATCAGCGTCGAAAATTAAGTATCCTAGAAGCAGTTTTCGTATGTTTTTGCACAAAACATTGTAAACCAGTGTTATTAATTTCGAATTTCTACAAAAATACTTTTTAATATAAGGGATAACGATAGAATGAATTTTGGCCAGGTGAATTAAATCTGTCTCTGTAGAGTTAAACTCTTAATTATCGTTTATATCGAAACTCATTAAATTAAGATATGAAGTTTGTTAATGTAATATTAAATATCGTGCATTTAATGCGAGCGAGCTTTACCAAAATTGATCGAGATTAATTGACTCGCGAAGTCACGACATCTGGGTTCGCTCAGGTTCGCAAACTCGAGGAAACCTCCTCTATTTAATGTTACAACCGGAATGGCATTAATTATACTCACTCATTAACGCGCAGCGAAAGTTACGCTCTTTGATAAGACGACTAGATCCACAAGATGCATTCGTCCTAAAGATGAAACTTCAAAAACTTAATTAGATCGCTAATGTCGAAAAAACTCAAGTACTTGAAGTACAAAAATATAAAATTAAAACAAAATAAAAATGTAGGATTTGAACAAAAAACTGCTAATTTTATTCAAATATTGGAAAATTATTAATTTTAAATTCCTACTTTTTAACGTAAGAAACAATGACTGAATAACGTGAAATAAAAATAGAATACAATATTCTATTTTACTTGACAACACACGCGTTAAATATTAAAATATAAAATTAGAATAGAATGAAAATTAAACGACAAGAAACAACCTCTTGTGAAAGAATTTAAGATCAAAGAAAAGTATGAGAGTTACGTAGATCTACTTGTATCTTACTTAACGTGCGAGATATATTATAGCTATATAGCTTGTCTCTTTCAATATTATTCATACATTACTTTCGTCCAGCTTTCGTCTCATCGCAATTTCTCCAGCAAGTACCAACTTGAAACGGTAATACGAGGTCTTCCACGGAATTGGTGTAATTGGCAATCTGCACAATTAGTCGGCGTCTCTCGTCGAAGGGAAAGACTAATCGTCGTAAGCCCCGTGGGGCTGAATTCTCCATTAACCCTTAAACGGCGCTCGAAACTCCTACTTACTTCCAATAAAAATCAATAATGAAAATAATAGCGAATCAGTCAAAATTATACTAATTAATATATATTACGATGTGAACGCGCGTAAATATAAGAATATATTATCAAATGCGAAACCTTAAACAGCTCTCTCTCTCTCTCTCTCTCTCTCTCTCTCTCTCTCTCTCTCTAAATCTTTAAAGTAGAATCTAATTCTAAAGAGTGACATCTCACTCTTAAAAATTGACAATTGAGCTATTCCTTTTCACCACTGGCTCAATTATTTATACTCTTTGTTACTCTAAGAGA